ACTTTTCTCAACTATCCAATGCTACTAACAATATAGGAATTGCGAAACAGCGTGACAGGCTATTTCTTCTTTTAACTGGCGGGCACAGCAGTTTATAAATTTTCATCATTATTCTGGCTAAGTTCTACTTCAGCAGTATTGAAGAAGATCATTTACCCGCAAGCTTTTTAAATTGTTATGGCTTTGAGTAGTGATTTCTACGTATTCACGTTTTCAACCGTTACTTTTTTGTTGTTTTTAACGTGTAAATCTGCCTTATTGTTTGAATAGTATATAATATTGCAAGTAATATTAAGTCAAAGCACGATTACTTTCGTCTTTAAGCGTCACTGCTTTAGGAAGCTTGTGTTGGAATATTATCAAGACTTTTTGAGTAGTATCGCATACTAGATTAAAATGCAGTTTTTCTCTTAAAGTATCAATTTTGAGGATCGGAATACTGAAACATAAATTCGTTCATTTTCTTGAAAATTTGACTACAAAAACAAATCTATAAATGTTAACGTTAAATTTGAAGTTACAGTTGAACTCAGTCAAGAGTGAGCATTTTGTTTACAAAAAGTAACATTAGCGTAAGCTACACTTTGCTTATTTTGGAAAAACTGACGAAGAAAGAAGTTACAGGGGTTCACATTTAATCAGGTAAGTTCAGAGGAGAAAGAACAGTAGTTATCAAAACCGTGTATTGGTCTGTTTTGAAAAGTGATAGGAAACTATTCTAGATTGTCTGTTGAATGCAAGTAAAATATGCTTATCTGTCGGGTTCTTCAACAACAGTGGTTTTAATTGCCTGACATCATACGTTATACTGCAGAGGATTTTTCGTACACGACACCATAAAGTTGTTATATCATTACCATGAGAATTTAACATTATTATATTCAAATATAATTTTAAAAGAATAAAAAGTTATGGTCAATAGTGGTTACCAAAAAACAGTCAACAGTGCTGCAGCACATACTCAGGTTTCAATTTCTAGAGAAAGCGCTTATGAAAAAGCTGAAAATTACAAACATTAAAGTAGTTTAACACGCAACATATTTTCAAAATTTTTTTTTTCTGATCATAATTTTTTGTTGCAAGTTATGTTAACAGAAAGATACAGTAGCACTAAAGTTACGATTAGGCATCTTTCTTGAGCATATTAACTTTCATAAATGCGGACAGGTTTTATTGAAGACTGAGTCAAATCACTAATGTAATCTCAGCTGATGCTGGTAGTTTTGGTTAGTAATTTAGAGTAAAAAATTCATTTTAAATTGGTTTCTTAAAAAAGCATCTATCAAGGTTACTCGCTTCAAAATACAATGAATTAATTTTTTATCGGTTCTTAGGTAAGTCTATGACGATTTGTCAGTTTAAAAAATTCTACTTTTAGACCCGTTTCATCCTTCAACGTATCAAAAAAGCCAAGCCAGTGTTACATTTAATAGAAGGCTTTTGTCTGCTTCTTTTTGCTTACTGTGCTTTTGTTTTGTTATTTTGACTTTTAAATTTGTTTTTAAATTTGTTTATTTAGAGTGCAAAAATGTTATCCCAATAGATTAGTTCAGAAATTTTCACAAGAATAATCTAGGTATACGTTCTGAAGGTTAATTATACAAAATAGCAAAAAGCAAAGGAAAAAGAACACATGTATTGGAAATAAAATGATATTCTAGTAAAATTTAAGTTTTAAATTTCGTATCATTAATTAGATTTTGTTGTAAAAATGTTAAACTAACAAAAAAAAGAGTTTGCACAGTAAATTTAGACGAAACATTTCTATTACAAAGCATATGTACACTTTTTTTGATGCAAATTAATAATGAGAACTTTTTTGGGGATTTTACTGTTGAAACAACAAACAACTGAATGTATTGGCTACCTTTGTCGTTGATTTTGCATAAGCAATTGATTGAAGTTTTTAAGTAGATATACTGCTCAAAGAATTGTAACGTTTGCTGCTTTCAGTGAATATTGTAAATTTTTTGCTAAAATGGTAATCACTTTTGGCTTCATTTGTTGTACCACAAAAACCAAACAGTCGATAAAGGAAAGAATTTGTAGGTAGTCAACGACATTAAAGGAAAAAATTGTACGGATGAACTATGAATGTATAAGTAATGTTTTTTGTTAAATTCCGTAGGGTAGTCATCTGGAATTCTGGTGTTCAGAACCTCTTACTCCACCTCAGTCTACAACACCGTTACAAAATCTCTATAAAGACGAAAAAGAATTTTATAGTTGACAAAAGTACAATGAAATGTTTATATCATTATCTACATCAAGTTATTTATTTATCGCTTTATACCTTTCTGATTTGTTGCAATAAAAAAATCTTTTTTTTTTGCTTTTCTTGGATATTTATTTTATTTATACAATAGTTCATTTACTAAAGTTTTTGCTGAAAAGTTATCTAAAAAAATCTACCTATAAGAAGCTGTATAAACCACAGTAAATAAAAAAAAAAAAAAAAAAAAAAAAAAAAA